ATGTGTGACGTGATGTTGGGGGGTGTCATGTTGGATGTGTGACGTGATGCTGGGGGTGTGTCATGTTGGATGTGTGACGTGATGTTTGGGGTGTGTCATGTTGGATGTTTGACGTAATGTTGGGGGTGTGTCATGTTGTATGTGTGACGTGATGCTGGGGGGTGTGTCATGTTGTATGTGTGACGTGATTTGGGGGTGTGTCATGTTGGATGTGTGACGTGATGTTGGGGGGGGTGTCATGTTGGATGTGTGACGTGATGCTGGGGGTGTATCATGTTGGATGTGTGACGTGATGTTGGGGGTGTGTCATGTTAATTGTGTGACGTGATGTTGGGGGGTGTGTCATGTTGGATGTGTGACGTGATGCTGGGGGTGTGTCATGTTGGATGTGTGACGTGATGCTGGGGGGGTGTCATGTTGGATGTGTGACGTGATGCTGGGGGGTGTGTCATGTTGTATGTGTGACGTGATGCTGGGGGTGTGTCAGGTTGGATGTGTGACGTGATTCTGGGGGTGTGTCATGTTGGATGTGTGACGTGATGTTGGGGGGGGGGGTGTCATGTTGGATGTGTGACGTGATGCTGGGGCTGTGTCATGTTGGATGTGTGACGTGATGTTGGCGGTGTGTCATGTTGGATGTTTGACGTGATGTTGGGGTGTGTGTCATGTTGGATGTGTGACGTGATGCTAGGGGTGTGTCATGTTGGATGTTTGACGTGATGTTGGGGGGTGTGTCATGTTGGATGTGTGACGTGATGTTGGGGGGTGTGTCATGTTGGATGTGTGACGAGCAGTTGGGGGGGTGTCATGTTGGATGTGTGACGTGATGCTGGGGGTGTGTCATGTTGTATGTGTGACGTGATGCTGGGGGTGTGTTATGTTGGATGTGTGACATGATGCTGGGGGTTGTGTCATGTTTTATGTGTGACGTGATGCTGGGGGTGTGTCATGTTGTATGTGTGAACTGATGCTGGGGGGTGTGTGTCATGTTGTATGTGTGACGTGATGTTGGGGGGGGGGGGGGTGTCATGTTGGATGTGTGACGTGATGCTGGGGATGTGTCATGTTGTATGTGTGAACTGATGCTGGGGGTGTGTCATGTTGTATGTGTGACGTGATGTTGGGGGGGGGGTGTCATGTTGGATGTGTGACGTGATGCTGGGGTTGTGTCATGTTGTATGTGTGACGTGATGTTGGGGGTGTGTCATGTTGGATGTCTGACGTGATGCTGGGGGTGTGTCATGTTGGATGTGTGACGTGATGCTGGGGGTGTGTCATGTTGGATGTGTGACGTGATGTTGGGGGTGTGTGTCATGTTGGATGTGTGACGTGATGCTGGGGGGTGTGTCATGTTGGATGTGTGACGTGATGCTGTGGGTGTGTCATGTTGGATGTGTGACGTGATGTTGGGGGTGTGTCATGTTGGATGTGTGACGTGATGTTGGTGGGGTGGTGTCATGTTGTATGTGTGACGTGATGTTGGGGGTGTGTCATGTTGGATGTGTGACGTGATGCTGGGGGTGTGTCATGTTGTATGTGTGACGTGATGTTGGGGGGTGCGTCATGTTGGATGTGTGACGTGATGTTGGGGGGGGGTGTCATGTTGGATGTGTGTCGTGATGTTGGGGTCGTGTCATGTTGGATGTGTGACGTGCAGTTGGGGGGGGGTGGTCATGTTGGATGTTTGACGTGATGTTGGGGGGTGTGTCATGTTGGATGTGTGACGTGATGTTGGGGGTGTGTCATGTTGGATGTGTGACGTGCAGTTGGGGGGGGGTGTCATGTTGGATGTGTGACGTGATGCTGGGGGTGTGTCATGTTGGATGTGTGGCGTGATGCTGGGGGTGTGTCATGTTTTATGTGTGACGTGATGCTGGGGATGTGTCATGTTGTATGTGTGACGTGATGCTGGGGGTCGTGTCATGTTGGATGTGTGACGTGATGTTGGGGGGGGGGGTGTCATGTTGGATGTGTGGACGTGATGCTGGGGGTGTGTCATGTTGGATGTGTGACGTGATGTTGGGGGGGGGGGGGTGTCATGTTGGATGTGTGACGTGATGTTGGGGGTGTGTCATGTTGGATGTTTGACGTGATGCTGGGGGTGTGTCCATGTTGGATGTTTGACGTGATGTTGGGGGTGTGTCATGTTGTATGTGTGACGTGATGCTGGGGGTGTGTCATGTTGGATGTTTGACGTGATGTTGGGGGTGTGTCATGTTGTATGTGTGACGTGATGCTGGGGGTGTGTCATGTTGGATGTGTGACGTGATGTTGGGGATGTGTTATGTTTATTGTGTGACGTGATGTTGGGGGGTGTTGTCATGTTGGATGTGTGACGTGATGCTGGGGGTGTGTCATGTTGGATTCGTGACGTGATGTTGGGGGTGTGTCATGTTGGATTCGTGACGTGATGTTGGGGGTGTGTCGTGATGATGGGGGTGTGTCGTGATGCAAGCTTCAGAAGCAGAAAGTTTTCAGCAAGAGATGACAGCATTGGTTCTTATGGCGGTTCATGGGGTAGACGACATAGAGTACAGCTGTTTCTTTGACCACGGTATTTGAAGAGATCATGTGGTCAATACTATGTCCAGCTGCTTTTACTTTCCCTAATGTAGATGGACTAATCAACGTCTTATTGATTTAACTCTGTGATTCGACCTCCAATTGTTTGTGTTACTAATCGTACACTTTACTTCGTTTTCCTCTTGGACGAGCAAAGGCAACACGATGCTTTAATATACTTCAACACACTTTTTCTTTCAGACATCTCTTCGGTGTCCCATTCCTACCCTGAAGCACTTCTACACCTCCCCCCCCTCCGAGAAAAAGTCTCAAAGAAACATACTGCTTTAACAACAAAGCATGGATGATAGCAATAGCATATCTTGCAGCTAAAAGAGGAAAACGTGCATCATCGTTGTAAAACTAAAAAAAAGTAAAGTACTGAAAAAAAGGCATAAAAAACGTTTTAATAACAAGCCTTTATGTTATATTGCATTAAAAAGTAGAAAATAAATTATACACTACTACTTAAACAACTATAAAGAAAAGCGAGGGTCTATTTCTAAATGTTAGTAAAGGTATCCAATGGATACTAAAGTGAATATAAAGTAGTCTGGCTAATTGGTATCTGGCTAATATAGTATCTGGCTTATTCGTGTCTGGTTAATTAGTGGCGGGCTGATTAGTGATTGGCTAATTGATGATTGGCTAATTTGAGTGGGGCTTATCGATGTGTAGCTAATTTAGTGTCTTACTAATTGGTGTTTAGCTAATTTGGTGTCTCACTAATTGGTATTTAGCTAATTTGGTGTCTTACTAATTGGTATTTAGCTAATTTGGTGTCTCACTAATTGGTGTTTAGCTAATTTGGTGTCTTACTAATTGGTGTTTAGCTAATTTGGTGTCTTAATAATTGGTGTTTAGCTAATTTGGTGTCTCACTAATTGGTATTTAGCTAATTTGGTGTCTCACTTATTGGTATTTAGCTAATTTGGTGTCTTACTAATTGGTGTTTAGCTAATTTGGTGTCTTACTAATTGGTGTTTAGCTAATTTGGTGTCTTACTAATTGGTGTTTAGCTAATTTGGTGTCTCACTAATTGGTATTTAGCTAATTTGGTGTCTCACTTATTGGTATTTAGCTAATTTGGTGTCTTACTAATTGGTGTTTAGCTAATTTGGTGTCTTACTAATTGGTGTTTAGCTAATTTGGTGTCTTACTAATTGGTATTTAGCTAATTTGGTGTCTTACTAATTGGTATTTAGCTAATTTGGTGTCTTACTAATTGGTATTTAGCTAATTTGGTGTCTTACTAATTGGTATTTAGCTAATTTGGTGTCTTACTAATTGGTGTTTAGCTAATTTGGTGTCTTACTAATTGGTGTTTAGCTAATTTGGTGTCTTACTAATTGGTATTTAGCTAATTTGGTGTCTTACTAATTGGTATTTAGCTAATTTGGTGTCTTACTAATTGGTATTTAGCTAATTTGGTGTCTCACTAATTGGTATTTAGCTAATTTGGTGTCTTACTAATTGGTATTTAGCTAATTTGGTGTCTCACTAATTGGTATTTAGCTAATTTGGTGTCTCACTAATTGGTATTTAGCTAATTTGGTGTCTTACTAATTGGTATTTAGCTAATTTGGTGTCTTACTAATTGGTATTTAGCTAATTTGGTGTCTTACTAATTGGTATTTAGCTAATTTGGTGTCTCACTAATTGGTATTTAGCTAATTTGGTGTCTTACTAATTGGTATTTAGCTAATTTGGTGTCTCACTAATTGGTATTTAGCTAATTTGGTGTCTCACTAATTGGTATTTAGCTAATTTGGTGTCTTACTAATTGGTATTTAGCTAATTTGGTGTCTCACTAATTGGTATTTAGCTAATTTGGTGTCTTACTAATTGGTATTTAGCTAATTTGGTGTCTTACTAATTGGTGTTTAGCTAATTTGGTGTCTTACTAATTGGTATTTAGCTAATTTGGTGTCTTACTAATTGGTGTTTAGCTAATTTGGTGTCTTACTAATTGGTATTTAGCTAATTTGGTGTCTTACTAATTGGTATTTAGCTAATTTGGTGTCTCACTAATTGGTGTCGCTTGGTGACAAACAACGTCATGCATGAGATAAAATTTTCCCGTCGGTATCCCATTTACAAACACCTTTCACAAACATGTGCTACAAACACCATCTACTAACACCTTCTACAAACACCTTTTACAAACATCTTACACACTCTACAAACATATTCTACATACACCTTCTACAAACATATTTCTACTGCAAACACTGCCAGCCGACGATACCTGACCTTATCAGAATAAATTAGCGCGTAACTTCAATGAATCTTTGAAAAGAGTCAATTTGAGATAAGGTATTCAAATAAATTATCAATGGATCAACAACGATAATTTTTAAATGATAAAAATTTTAAAAACATTCTCTACCTTGTAGGGATCAGAGTGTACTTATTCCAGAAAATTGTTACCTTTGGAGGAGACTTCACGTGTTTCATTTGGCTGTTCATCCGTTTGGGTTGTTGTTGTTTTTTTTACTTGTTTTTTTTTTTTTTTTGTATTTTGGATTTGTGAAAAGATTTGAAATGCTGAAATATTATTTACCACTTTTTGTCATTCTTGGCAGCGCTAACAGTTTTGTGAGTTGATTTCAGTTTTTAAGATGGGTAATTTATATATTGATAGTATGTTAGCGATAGTAGTTTAATTACTAGCTAAAAAGATCTACCCGTTCGTGATGTCCGATGTTCTCTCATAGATTTCGCCTTTTGGACGCCCGTACGAGATTCCAGAGAAGCAGACGGCAGCCATGCAAATAGTGAGGGTAGGAGTTTTTGTTATTGCCTGCGTGAGTTGATATGTCTGACTTGCTTTGATGTGTGGGTTCATCTGTGTGAGTTCATGGTTATGTGTGTGTGTTTTGTGTGCGTGTGGGTTGATTTGAGTGAAGGTTATTAAATGTGTAGGTTGATATATGTACGTTGTGTTTTTTGGCGGATGTGTTGGTTGTTCGGCTAGTTGAATGGGTCTCTGTCTTTCCTGTATTTTTCTAGGAAATTGTTCATTTATTGGGTGCCAGGTTAAAGGTCACGTGATTTGAAGCCAGTTTATACGTCTACTGTCACTGAAAACATTCAACACAAGCTGGACGGATTTTGTACTGACACACCTGGTCGTTTTTTACTTTGCTGGGCTACACATCTATGATGATTGTGCACTAAAACCTACCCGACAACCTACCTTACGACCTACACGACAACCTGACAGCAACCAACCCGACAACCTACTAACAACCTACCAGCATCCTACCAGACAACTTACCAAACAACCTACCAGACAACCTACCCGACAACCTACGAAACAGCCTACCAGAAAACCTACCAGACAACCTACGAGAAAACCTAACAGCAACCTACCAGCAACCTACGAGACAACCTACGAGACAACCTACTAGACAACACTTCCAACAACGCTATTCACTACCCAATCCACTGATATCAACAACCCATCTGATCTGAACCTATCAAGCAAACATTCCGAACGTGTCAGATATCAGATCGTTTAGATCTAATGACGATATGACGTAACCTTTGACACGATAGTCTAGCCAGCTGATATCGTAGTGTGGATATTTCGGGTTCGAGCCTCGACCTTTCTATTGACGCACAGAATATGAAATGTTTCAATTACAGCCACAAGACCAATTCAATAATGTTCAAGTTTATTTACTTTGTCCACAAGTGTCAATATCCTTCTCCTCTGCTATCCCTTTATATCCTATACACTTCTATCCTATAAACTTCTATCCTATACACTTCTATCCTATACACTTCTATCCTATACACTTCTATCCTATACACTTTTATCATATACACTTCTATCCTATACACTTCTATCCTAAACACTTCTATCCTACACACTTCTATCCTATACACTTCTATCCTATACACTTCTATCCTATACACTTCTATCCTATACACTTCTATCCTAAACACTTCGACTATTCAACTGTCATGCTATAACTTTCTACTACCAAACAATAAACTCAACTGTAACCTCCTAAATATAACTTTCTACTACCAAACAATAAACTCAACTGTAACTTCCTAACTATAACTTTCTACTATCTTACGATTTACTCCACGTTGTGGTGTTGCTAATTATGCTGTATGTGTTTGAATGCTATCGTTGTCGAGTCGTCTACGATAAATCAAGTCTAGTACGTGTCCCGTGAACTGTACCTTGTCGTATTTTGCTTTTATTCTACTGTTCCAAATAGTCTGTCTATAGATAGCTACCGTCCTTGCTTTTTGCTCTAGGTCCGTCCTGTCTCTTTGTTTAGGGATTTTGTTTGAGTTTTAACAGAGGCGTATCCAGGTTTTCGTTGTAGGGGGAGCGGAAATAGCAAAAAAAGGCGCCGAATTTGTAATATTTTCTATATAAGTATATATATATATATATATATATATATATATATATATATATATATATATATATATATATATATATACATATATATATATATATATATATATATATATATATATATATATATATATGTATATATATATATATATATATATATATATATATATATATATATATATATATATATATATATATATATATATATATATATATATATATATATATATATATGTATATGCGTGTGTTTGTGTGTGTGTGTTATTGCTTCGATATGATGTAAAATAAATTTAAATAAGCACTCGGAAGAAATAAAAAAACACACAATGTAGGCCGACGAAACAAAAAATATGGTATCACTCTAAACAAAAACATATATATATATATATATATATATATATATATATATATATATATATATATATATATATATATATATATATATATATATATATATATATATATATATATATAAACACACTACAACCAAAAACAATGAACGTGGCATAATCTGTTTCGTAATTCTTGTAAAAAAAAATTACATAATAATTCCTGGGCCATCTATTAAGACTAGCGAAAAGGGGAAATAACCAATATCTTAATATAAATATGTATGTGTCTACACATTTTATTATAAATATCAAAACAAATCAATAATTACTTTAGAATCTAATAAAATAGCTTAACACTATTCGATTTTACAAAAATTATTTGTCTAAATAATTAATTTAATATATTGTCCTTATAAATGCAAAAGTATCACAGCATAATGAAAGTTTTTTTTAAATCAGAGTCGGTACAAAATCCAGCTTTTCACTATAGAAGTAAAACATTCGTAATAATAGACTACATATAACTTAAATATCGGTCTTAAATTTCAGATCATACACATATTAAGTAGCACTGGCTTTTTGTGTTTTTTAATGATAATTTTTTAACATAATGTGAAGGTATGGGTTAAAACACAGTATTGCTCACACACCTTTTACCGGCTATTAAAAAAACAATATTCACAGAGATTTACGTTTCAAATGTGCCGACCAAAGATAATGTTTAACAAATATCAATGTTTAAAACTTTGAGTGTAAAAAGTTTCCAAAAAGGCGCCACTTTGCTAAAAATGGCCAGAGGGGGAGCGGCCGCTCCCCCTGCTCCCCCCCCCCCCCCCCCCTGCGTACACTACTGAGTTTTAACTATGTCGATGTTGAAGGTCTCGTTTCTTGTTATTTTGGTTTCTAGCGTCTTTTTCATGTTTTGTATGGTGGGGCATTCTAAATAGATGTGCGTTTCGGTTTCGGGTGTCTTTTGTCTGCATAGTGGGCAAAAGGGGTTCTGTTGTTTTGCTAGAGGTGTTGAATTGTAAATGAGTCTGTATGTTATTTCCCTAGCTTTGGGTGTGATGGTTTTGAGGTGTAGGTTCCTGAAGGTGTCTATTGTGTCTGTTGTAACGTTTACCTATCTACCAGCCAGATAGATGGTGAACGTCCCCGGATTCTTTTTTCGGGGTTATATGCAAATGACTTAAAGCCTAAATGAATGAACACTAACTCAACAACACACTAGGGCTCGACTTCGATGTCTAGGGAAAACTAGTGATACTATTGAAGTTAACAACTCATTCAATCTGCATACAACCTTTAATAAGCGAACACAGTTGTGGCAGAACACTAGGTTAAACGAGATAAAATATTTAATTTAGAAAATAACAAAACCCAACTTACAAGGCGTAAGAAAAAATACTATCACAGATTTTAAGACTGTATAAAAATAGCCACAGGTCACACAACACTGCTATAGCTTCAAGAATCACTTGGCGACAAGTAATATTATACTAGAATACTAAAACAGCTTAAGAAAGCATAGCACACTCAGGACTTAAGTTCTCTCACGTTCAAATGGTCAGAATCTATTGCCGGACAAAATGGACGGCCTGGTCTTAATAGACCGTTTGATCAAGGTAGACTGCCTCGTGTTGCGTGTGTGCGATCCAGTTAAAGACTTATGCAACAGGGGAGGTTATTCTCAACTCATGTAGCCATTGGTTGGGATGGTCATCTGATCAGAATCAATCAATCAGATCTTGGTGGAAAATTTCTGGGTCCTAGACACCCTTAATAAGACAGTGGAAAAACCTCGGTAGTTGCACCATCAATCCATATAAGGTATTATACAATGTCAAACTAAGAATGGAACATGACTAGACCTAAGTAGGTCACACTGTTAGAGCGTATTTCCTACACCATTGAATTCTGTTGTATAATGGGGTTGAGGGATTTTGTACTAATTTTTTGTAAATGTTTTGTGATTTTTTTTGTGTACAAGTTTTTCGTTGTTTTTTTTTTTTTGTTTTTTTTACATTTTTAACATTTGTAAGCATTCTGTGTAAAAGGGACTGTGTTTTTGTCCTGTGTAATGCCGAGTTGTATTATACATGTTTGTAAGTTTGTTGAGCTGAATGCCTATGTAGTAGTCATGGGCGGAACCACAGTGCCGCCAGACTCCGCAATGCCAGGGAGGGGGGGGGGGGCAGGCCGTTTTGGAGCCCACAGTCAACCATAATCAATTTTATAGTTAAAAAAATAATATTCTTGTGAAAAAAACCAGATCTACAGCAGTAGTGTTCTACAGTAGAAAACACACGCTGTTTTCGTAAAGGAAAAAATATATAGGCTACAAGAGTTGTAGTGTGAAAGATAGACAAACGTTCAAACCACTTCCATGACTTATTTCCCTTTTTTTAAAAAAGTCAAATATGTGTGATCTTAAAAAACTTTTAATAGATTTGCACTAAACAAATTAAAAAGCAATTACTTCTCTTAATTATTTTTTTTAAATACATGTTAAAGATTGACATAGTATAAAAAGGAAATGTATTAAAAACCAATAATATAAATACGGCGAGAAACCATTACACATACAAAGCTGTGATGCTTCATATTCTTTTGACTGACTTATAATTAGGAAGCATTATGTCAGGCATTGAAAGAGAGAATTGCAAAACAGACTAATAGCACTCACACAAATAACGTGTTGTTGTAACATGCTTTAATTAAAGTAAAACCTAAGAATTTTAATTTTTTTCAAATTTCGATCATGCCCGTATTGAGTATTCTAGGTTCATATTTTCTTAGTTTGTTTATATATATATATATATATATATATATATATATATATATATATATATATATATATATATATATATATATATGGCGCCCAAAATAATTTTTGCTGGGTGGCCCTTTTTTTTCTAGTTCCGCCACTGGTAGTAGTGAGCTAAAGGGTGAAAGTTTGCTTGACTAATTATTTGCTAATGTGTGTTAGTCTGAATGTATTGATTTTGGTCTGTATATCGTGCAGGTTTATTCCTCCCTGCAGTTTGTTTTACACTAGTGTGTTGTG